AACTGCTTATGCAGGCTGCTTTGAGTACTTTGCTACTCATTATTTACAATTGTTCTGACCAAGTTCTCACTACTAGGGAAAGAAGAATAGCCAAATCTAGAGAAGCAGCAGCTAGAACTGCAAGGAAGACTGCAAATGCGCGCCAAAGATGGCAATTTGCAAAAGATGCCACTAAGAAGGGTGCAATGGGGCTGCAAGCTCAACTATCTCGCACCTTCAAAAAGGATGCATCAATTCTGGAAAAAGTTAAAATTTTGAAAGAAGCAAATTCTGAAGCAGAAGTTGAATTGTTGTCACATTCACGACCTACAACTTCAAGCATGGTTGCTAGCTCATCTGTGGCAACAAAGGAAAAGGAAAAAGAACCCAGTGGTCTAATGCAGATAATACACGAAATTGAAAATGATCCTGATATTGATGACAATATTAAAACAGAAATAGAAACTAGAGGTAAAAGTGTTACAGCAAATGTGCCAAAGGGAAAACAACCACATACTCATAGCCAAATTTTTAGGTATGCATATTCTGAACTCGAAAAAGAGAAGGCTCAGCAACAAGAAAACAAGAAGCTTACATTCTCGGGGGTAATTAAAATGGCTACAAACACTGAAAAAAGGAAAAGGCCTTTAATTGAAATTTCTTTCAAGGATCTCACTCTTACATTGAAAGCTCAAAACAAGCATATATTGAGATATGTTACTGGGAAAATTAAACCTGGGCGCATCACTGCTGTCATGGGTCCATCAGGGGCTGGTAAGACAACATTTATTTCAGCTCTAGCTGGAAAGGCGTTAGGATGCTCGGTCACTGGTTCAATTCTTATAAATGGAAGGAATGAATCAATCCATTCCTTCAGGAAAATTACTGGCTTTGTGCCACAAGATGATGTAGTTCATGGAAACCTAACAGTGGAAGAGAATCTCTGGTTCAGTGCACAGTGCAGGTATATTAAATTGTTTGACATTTTAATAGCTATATATTCTAAAAATGTTATCAGTTTTCTTTTGTCTTAGTCTTGCTTATCTTCTTATACTTGTGCATAAGATATTGTTTGTGACAGTTTTGTGTGTTTGTATGTGCTAATTTAAATGAACTTTGGTAAAAGGCTATCTGTTGACTTGTCAAAACCAGAAAAAGTTCTGGTTGTTGAAAGAGCTATTGAATTCTTGGGGCTTCAATCAGTGCGTAATTCCTTGGTTGGAACTGTGGAAAAGCGAGGGATCTCTGGAGGTCAAAGGAAGCGTGTAAATGTTGGATTGGAAATGGTTATGGAGCCCTCACTATTGATCTTGGATGAACCCACGTCTGGCTTGGACAGTGCATCTTCTCAGCTGCTTCTAAGAGCTCTAAGACGCGAAGCTCTTGAGGGAGTGAACATTTGCATGGTGGTTCACCAACCCAGGTAAATTTTAACTTATGTCTGAATCATTGAGATGTCGGTTGCCTCATTGCTCCCTTTTTTTTTTTCAGCTACCATTTAATGTAAAAGAATTTTATTTCGTTCTTAACTTGTTTCATGGGCTTTGATACACACATACTTCAGAATTGGCGATGTATTCATAGAGTACCCACATGCTGATATGCATATTTTGTGACTACTTACTTCTGTATCACAACTTGGATGTTTTATGTACTAATCTCCTATATACATTTTTTCTTTGAATTGAGACAGATTTATTTTCATAACTTGAATTATAACATATATAATTGGGATTGGTTGACAGTAACATTAGTGTCCCTTTTATTTTTAATGGCTGTAACCTTCTGCTTCAGCTATGCATTGTACAAGATGTTTGATGACCTGATACTTCTGGGAAAAGGTGGTCTTACTGTCTATAATGGATCTTCCAAGAAAGTTGAAGAATACTTTGCGGGCCTGGGGATCAACATTCCCGAGCGGATTAATCCTCCAGATTACTTCATTGACATTTTGGAGGGCTTAACAACACCTGGTGGAAGCTCAGGACTCAGTTTTAAGGATCTGCCAGTCAGATGGATGCTTCATAATGGATATCCAATACCTTTTGATATGAGGCAGAATGAATTTCAATATGATACGTCCCAGAGTGTAAATTCAGCTTATGGAATTGATCCCTACGGATCCAGTCATGCAGAAAAAACCTTTGCTGGAGAATTATGGCAAGATATGAGAAACAACGTGGAACTGAGGGGGGAAAAGATAAGACACAATTTTTTTAAATCCAAGGATTTATCTGACCGGAAAACTCCTGGTGTTTTCAAACAATATAAGTACTTTGTTATACGGTAAGTCATCTAATGACATCAATTTGTTAACTTGGAAGTCGTATTTCCTGATGGCTTGCTGAAATCTTCCTTATCATGAGATAATTTTTACACTGAGGATTACCAATTGACTTGTTTAGGTAGTAATTGTTTTTGAAAGTGTGCCATGAACTAAATTTTGTGCAGGCTGGAGATTCAATAATTACATTTCTTTCTATGACTTTATCGTGGTCCAAGGATCTGTGTTATAAGGAAAGTACGAGGAAGGAAAAATAGAAATAAAACCTTTTTGTCTGATCATATGATGGTCAAGTCCCTTACCACCTCTTCTATTCCATGTATTATGCAAACCAAAATTAATGTTAATATTTTATGCAACCTAAGTGAAGCCAAAGTGCCACTTAATATTTGCTGACTTACATAATTATTTCTCTTCTCATACTCCATTTGGTGCTATTATCGTTTACAGGACAAAGTGCAGCTTATAAAATTTTAATCTGAGTCATCCTTATTTTCTTTTGTTAGTTGAGGGTACATAATCCATGCTAATGTTATTTCAGGGTTGGGAAGCAGCGGTTACGAGAAGCTAGGACCCAAGCCATAGATTATCTTATTTTGTTACTTGCTGGTGCCTGCTTAGGATCTCTTACAAAAGGCAGTGAGCAAACGTTTGGGGCAGCTGGGTACACCTATACGGTGATTGCTGTATGTAAGTCAAATAAATATCATTGCAAATAATCTGCCTAGCATTCACGTGAACAATGCTTTGTTCTTATCAATTGTTGTAAATTTCAGCTCTTTTGTGCAAAATAGCGGCCTTGAGATCATTTTCCTTGGAAAAATTACACTACTGGCGGGAGAGTGATGGTGGCATGAGCAGCTTGGCTTATTTCCTCTCTAAAGACACCCTAGATCACTTTAATACAGTGATCAAGCCTGTGGTGTACCTTTCTATGTTCTATTTCTTCACCAATCCGAGATCAACTTTTGCAGATAATTATATTGTGCTGCTTTGTCTTGTATACTGTGTTACTGGTATAGCATATGCATTGTCCATATTTTTTGAACCAGGTGCTGCCCAGCTAGTAAGTATCAGAAGCTGATCATAAAACTTTTACTAACCCCAATTAAATATTACTCGTCATTCTGTTTCCGTTTCTCCTCTAAAACATTCTGTTTTTTGCAGTGGTCAGTACTTCTTCCCGTTGTTTTAACTCTCGTTGCAACACAACCAAAAGATGGTAAAATTTTGGAGGCTATAGCTAATTTTTGCTACTCAAAGTGGGCTTTACAAGCATTAGTTGTTGCAAATGCTGAAAGGTAAATAGTCTAGCTTGAAGAAAAAACTACTTTGATATATTTGGCTATTCAAATTACTTCAACTACACCGTGAAACAAGAAATAATTTTATTGATTATAATCACACATTTGAATCCGCGTACTGAATGTACTGTCAATTTCATTTTATAGGTATCAGGGGGTGTGGCTCATAACTCGTTGTGGTTCACTTTTGAAAAGTGGCTATAATCTTCATGATTGGACCTTGTGCATATCCATCCTCATTCTTATGGGTGTCATTGGCCGGGCTATAGCATTTTTCTGTATGGTCACCTTCCGAAAGAAGTAAGGCCAACCAAACTTCAGGCTACCGAATTTTACCTCTTAAAATCTGTTGTATAAATTGGAGAGTTAACAAAAATTAGCATTAGAATTCTCATGATTTGGAGAATGTTCTGATAATTTTTGCGGGGTTGATATTGGTTATTGGCCTAAATATGCATGTCATTTGTGATCAATTATTATTAGTCAAGTCATAATCGCATGTACACCACTTATGATTGTGTTTTTGTATTATAGTAAATTTAATTTTCATGCACACCACTTAAAGTTGCGTTTTTTTTTTATTGTAAATTAAATTTCATTGCTGTTAATTGACGAGTAAAAGCTTATCACAGAACCAAGAAATAAGTCTGAAAGTACTGCAGCGAAGAGCAGTTGCATGTCCAGCTCTTACTGTTGTTGTTTTGGTCTTATGAACGTTTCTTCACTATATCGAATTCTACTTGTTGAGTTTTACAGCCCAAATTGTAAAAAAAAAAATACCCATTTTTGAAAATGATGATGATTAACATTTGAAGTGTAACTTTTCTTATAAGGTGTTTTATGAGAGTATCAAGAATATCGATCTCTCAACACTTCAAAACATAAAAGATCATAATAATAACTACCAACAAACAAGGCCCAAATATGGGGCGAACTAAAAATATAGTACAGATACAAGATCAGGAACAATAAATTTACAGTAACACTATTTATAACGTGATAAACCAAAAAGTTTTCTGATGTTTTGAAACTCTAGCTTGTAAGTATTAGAAGCCGTGCCTATGTAAGAAGTGCCAGTTCCGGAATCCGACCTCTACTGCTCTACAACTTCATTATATAACGTGATGAGCCTTGATGTCATGTGATGCGTCTGTGATACAGCTGCCCAGCTTCAGCAAATTACTAAATTTAACCTAACAATGTTAAAGTAAAGAAGAAATTCAAGTTTCAGCATATATAATTATAAATCGTGTGATTTTCTGTCAAAAGAAATCATAAACCATATAATATTATTCTACGACTACTATGACTAATGAGTTAAAAACTTAAATAGTAATATAGTAAGCCTAAAAGCGTCGTCATAATTAAATTAGCACACTGATACACTTAAAAGAACATATTACCTAATCATTACTTCAGTATTTTTGTATAAGTCATTTCCAAATAATGTCACCAAGAAATTTGAGAGCTGGAACACCTCTTATCTCAACATCGACGAGTGGTGCCTGGATCATCAATAAGCTGGAAAGTTCTGGATCATTCTGAATTAAATCAAGAGCACGCATCTGATCCTGAAAAGTTTGTTCATATTATGGTAAATTTTCATCCTCTAACTAAAAATAAAAGCATGTGCAATTCACTACTTTTTCTTTCCTTCTCTTCTAAGTTCTGGTTTAACATGCTCAAGTACCAGTTTCTCAGTTGTCACAACATTTTTTGTCAAATGAATTAGATCTAGCCAAAGTCTCTAAGATGACTTCCAAGTCCTAAGCTAGCATGTTTAGTATTCATCGTTTGTTTTCTTGGTCTGTCATATATTTATAACCTCATTTGGTTTCTTGCCCATTGCCCCTCTGAGGGAGTGGAATCCTTATGTAGGATCATTACGCGTTTCTCCTTGCTCATTAAGTTTTAGCCATGATACCCACGTTTTTCCAGGGAACTACCTCAAGTGGTCTTTATTTTTAAGGAATCTCCTTCGAACTTCTCTCACCGTGTGACTGTGAGCACCTTAAGAAAATAATGAGTTTACACATTAACCAATCATTAGATAGTTCAATCAGTATCCCGAATTTATCGATTAAATTCGATATGGGTCAACACAACACTCAACGTTACACAGCTCCTAAACTCAAGCAATCCAGGGATGAGGCTGGAGTTGTAGGTTGTGTCGATGGACATACGCCAAACGATTCACAATCTTGCAACCTCAAGCAACTCAGTGAAGGGGCTGAGCTGAAGTTTCAACTCGATTGTTATCCGAGCATACATCGTGTCTAAACAACCAAGAATTCAACATGGTTTCTGCCATGGCTATTCCAGGACACCATTTCACGATGTCCAAAGCATCTACAACGATTCATCACAGAATACCTGATTGGCAGCTGGCGAAAAATCTGCCACCACTTCCTGCCATGGCCATTTTTCGATAGCACTGTTCCTGGCATATTGCCAGTTGACCATGCAAACACTCCCAAATCTCTTCAAGAAATTTGATCGATAGCTCCTCTCTTATCTTCATCCATAGCTTGAAGTATTTACTTCGTATCCATGATCACATCGGTTTGCATAGTAACCAATCATCAAATAGCTTACTCAGTCATCAAATTAATTCCGTTAACACTCTAAACTCTTCAAGATCAATATATCATTCAAATTCAATGAGTTGACACTACACAAACGGTACAAAATTATACTGTAGTTAAACCACTCATATCAAATCCATGCAAATATTAAAGAGGAGACGGTAAAAAGTACCTTTCTTTTCATAGCACAAAACTTGCAATCAGATGGAGATGGTGGAAGAATCTGATTGACAACAAGTCTATTCACAGGAACATTTTCCTTCTTCAAGGATGCACTCAATCGAGATGATTCGCTAACTGCCATCACCTTGGGGAGAGCAAAGACAAATATAAATGATTAAGAAATGCGAATTATGCCTATTTAACATTCAGTTAGTAAGCTACAACATAACAAAAACCTTTTCCTATTAAATAACGCTGGCTACATAAATTAAATGATGACATTTTGTTCTGTCAAAAGCCAAACTAATCTAGTGCATTCATTTTTTATTTATTAAATGAGTAGTTGATTCATATAGTGAAAGTAGTTCTGGCAATAAGATTAGAACCACTTCCATTTCAAACAGGAGCAAAATAGCAGGTATAGACGCCCAGCTCAATGTAATTTCTTTGAATTTTAACTATTCTTTTATCTTCTTTACTACTTGTCAAAAGGTAAACCAAACCCCAAGAATTTAGCCCGGTTACCTTTATCACCTTTGTTATTTATAAAATTTTGATACCCCTCACAGTCTCATTCCTCCTGGCCCTCCACCACACCTGATAGCATTTATAAACTATACCTTGCAACTGTAGTCCTTCAATCATTCTTGGTAGGGTTGGAGACACTAAATCATATGCCAATTCACCATTATATCATCATACACCGGTTATTCACATATTAATTAGTTATGGAACAAGTTTCTAAATCATACCGTGGGGATTGTAACAATGACAAATTCAGTTGAATCGGTATCTCGAAAGAGATTGCGCACTTTTATCATTCTCTCCCTAAGTTTCTCCAATTTGTCAGCCTGCACAATTAAGTATAACAAATGTGAACATATTAAGATGATACTAAATGCAACAGGTGATCCCAGGTATAAATATATCTTACAGCATTCTGTTGGGTATTTTCTTGCCCAAACACAGATTTAATTGCTGATGTAGCAGAAGCTATCTTTTGCCTTAGCTGCAGAAGAATAATTGGTATCAATTACTATAAGGATCATTCAGAGCTTGGAACTAGGAAATATTGGGGAGTAGGGGACAGGAGGAAGAGATAGTCTGGATTATGGTGTTCTGACTGTTCACTCAGTAAAAGATTAAAGATGATTAAGTACATGTGAGACATCGTATGAATAGGCATCATTTTGGTCAACTGCTTACTTCCACTAAACTTTTGATGAAATCTCACCATGAATCAGGCATTTTCACATAATGCTTGCATGGAGGGCAGCGAGAATTGCCAATACTCAATAGACAATTTTGAACAATTTATTCTTTTTGCTCCTTGATAGATGGCATGTTAGGTACAAAGATATCAAATTTATATCATGAATGAAAAGAATATAGAAATTTACACTTTAAATAATGGGATGCATTTGCATAGACATAAATTGGGAAAGGAAAGGGAAACAACTGAGGAAGATGAGAAAAAGTAGAACTGTAACAATTATAGTCACGGTCTGATGGACAATTTGCATCAGATGCTTATAGCTCCAGAACATAGTCCTTTTATTTGAAAGTTGGAACAAGTTCTCAGGCATTGAATAGAGAATTAAGTTCACTATTGTATCCATTAGCTTCTAAAGCAAGTGAATCAACTCAACTGAAACTGATAAGGAATGGGTGGGAGGAGGGGTTTCTTACTAGTAAATATAGTAGTGTTACCTTCAGTATCTTCCCAATAGATGCATCCAAGAAATCGGGCAAGGACAACAATCGCAATGTATGACCCTGATCAGGAACATGGTAAATCCTATGAGGTAATTTTCAAAAACTAAAGGTGATGTGAAATACATAAACATCAGTTTTTTGCTTACTGTAGGAGCGGTATCAAATACAATTCGAGTAAACATGCTATATTCCTGTGATTCAAGAAATTGCATAACCTGACAAGAGGCTTTTAATTGTTAGCAGAACCAAAAAGGAATTATTACAAGAATAATTAGCAATGAAATAAATATATGCAGCAAATAGAATGCATGCCTTGGAGATCGCAATAGCTTCATCCAGTCCAGGAGGAGGTGAATCCAGTAACTCTCCCAGTTTTAGCTCTCCCAACTAATGCAACCAAAATATGTAAGAGCCTGTCTTAAAGAAGCCAGCTTATTCTGAAGTAGAACCAATTATCTTTGCTATTTCTTAGTTATAAATAGTATGAACTTGCATAACATAATTTTACAATTTTTAAACAGCAAAAGGCAGGCATTTGAGTGTAAATATTTTAATTTATTTTATCAGAATATTGCATGTTAGTTTCAACATGAACTTTTTGAGTAGTAAACAAACTTGGGCGATGTGGAACTTCATGATCATGATGCATTCTTTCAATCAAGCAGTGAAATTTGATAAATACTCATTCTAACAGACGTATCATTGGTGTTCAGATTGAATTAGATGCACAGTGCTATTAGATCACAACCCCTCCATGTGCGTGACAAAGTAACAATTTTTTTTATTTTCTCCTTTCATGATTTAGTGCCTAAAGTCCAACTTAATTGATTCTTCAAGGTTAATCTGACCATCTACGAGGATATGAGTTAGGGTCAATATCATCACAGGTTGATAGCATACAGAATTATAGTTTAGACTTCTGATAGAAAAATTGCTTTAAGAAAATTCATCACCCTGTGAAAATTCATAGTGTAACTTGGAAAATATATACATAAAAAAGAAATGCTGCTACCATCTCAATAAATCTTTACCTGGTCTGCAATCATTCCAAGACCCATGCCATCCATGAAGTCTTTGACTCCAGTTCCACCATTTTTTTGAGAAGCATTTCGAAACTCTTCCCGAGACTTCTCAGGATTTATCTGTAAAGGAAGTAAGAAGCTACGAACTTAAATAAGTGTAGAGTGGTATTATCTTAAATGTTATGCACATATTCTTGAAAAAAAACCAATCATGCCATCAGGTAAACTGGATACCAAATATCAGCTAATTCATTCTACAAAATGTCAGCTTACTTCAAGAGCAAAAAGTGGAAAATCAGGTCCTTCCACTGGCACCAATGCCCCCCCTGTCAAATCCTAGTGTACGTTTACAAAACTTATATTAGACAGAGCAACCGAATCTTGAAGCAGCTAGCAAGTGAGTATCATCAGAACTATTTGATTACACATATAATTAACCTGAGCAAAAGAATCACTCAAAGAATGTGCTGGATCAGTAGAAACCACAAGAGTTGGGTGTCCATTATTGGCAAATTTAACAGCAAGTGAAGCAGCACAGCTTGTCTTCCCTACCCCTCCTTTCCCACCTAGCATGTAATACTTCCTCTTAGTCCCAGAAATCATTTCATCAAACCCTGATGCAGCTTCTGTTGTACCAGCAACCGATCTCACTGAAAAAAAAAAATAATAAAACCATACATAAAATTTGCCATCAAATAGTCGATAGGTACCTCAAAAGCACAATTTTCCTAAGAAAAGCATCTCTAAAATAAGTAAGGGGACTGCTAAACAGTATCATCATACAGTACACGGTTAGACCCAAATCATCGTGAACTCTACACTAGTCACATAATATGATACTGAATCTATATATTTAAAATAAAGAGAAATGAGGATCCTACACAAAAAGATTATCACAAAGACCACAAACAATTTTCCATTCTCCTGTTTCCTTCACTTACATTATTTGTCCATTCTATATCTCTTCATCAATTCTAAATTTCTAATAACTCGTTATTTTTCTCCACGGCACCCAAACATACCAATATCCACACTACTTAACTAGACCAACGAAAAAGATAACATCAATTCAGGGACACACCAGAAAAATAAAATAAAATAAAAAATAAACCAACTAATTGCATTACATGTAATACCAAACAGCAGCAAGTGGCAATTCCACCAATATGAACAAATGAAACAGAACTGCCTACATAAAAAAAATAAAAATAAACATGAAACAGAACAGATAAACTGATTACAAAAACCCAAAATAGTAAAAAATAAAATAAAAAAAATGAGAAAACCTTGAAATGACTTCTTGGGGGGTTTAGTGCAGGCAGAAAGGGAAACAAAAGTGACGGCTTTCGGAAGATAATGAAACAGAGGAGGGTTAGCTGCGAAGGAGAGGACACCCTTAACGGCCATGGAGTTTGTTGTACGAAGAGAAGATGAAATAACAGCGTGACATGCCATTTCTCGTACGCACTTTGCCTTTCGTTGTGGTTTGGTTTGGTTTGGTTTACTCTATCTCTGTCTCTATCACACCGCAAGGTTTTTCATTTTTCTTTTTCCCATTACACAGATAAATAAATAACTAATTATTTCTTTAGTTAATTGAGTTACATATAAACTTTTTTCATGTATTATATTCTTTTGCAATTTAAAAAAACAATTAAAAAAAATTAAAATAATGTTATAAATTAAAAGTGTTTATAACTATAGAGATCAAAGGGGAGGATGCTTTGCAAACATTTTGGTTTTGGTATAATAGATTTATGAGTATAAGCATGCAATTCCAATCTGAAATGGGGTAAATTGCGAAATTGAAGAGGAAAAAAAATGAAAATCCATAAGGACAACAAATCTGAAAATTCACATTTTGTTTTAAACAAACTAAATTGTATCTTCACCCTCATATGAAGTCGAGTGCTTAAACAAATTTTCAAAATAATAATTTTATCTAAATTATTTATTTTATATTAATTTTTAAAAATTTTAAACTTTTGAGTTATAATTTTTTTTTTTGCTTTTGATATTATATATTTCCATGTAATTAGAAAATTTTCTATTGTTAAATATCTATTTTTTTCTTACATATTATTAATAAATATTTTTAAAATTTATATTTAACGTGTTACTCTGTTTAACATTATCTTTCATGTATTATCTTCACTGAATTCATTATATTTTTGTTCTTGAATGAAATTAGGATTATTAAGTGTTTATACATTGTTGATCGCTTAATTACTTTTATATCAATTTAAGTTATTTTTATATTTATTTTATAAACGATATAAATTTAAGAGTATCACATAAAATTAATTTATTTTCGACCTATCTCTTTTTTTAATTTTTTTTTAAATCAAATTCTTACTTTTTTTTGTTTGAGTTTTTCTATTACTATAAGTAAAACAAAATATAAGCTTTAGAAATCGATAAATAAAACAGTTAAAGTAAAAAAATATAAAAAATTGTTCTCTATCTATATATACTATGGGACCCAAGGCATTACCTTAATGACCTTGCCTTATACATAACCATAGAATCTTGACTTTTCCTATCATGTGATTAAACTTGAAGTCAACATAGAAATTTCTACATGATTTTGACTAATGCGATGTTGGTCATGGATACTTAGCGATTAAATTGAATTCTCTGAAAAATAGGCGAAAAAGTGATGAGTGGCACCGAAGTTAATTGCAAACATCAAAGTTAATTAGAAAAACAACAATAATTAATTATACTCAGGTTTGAGTTCGTTTTCCAATCTTAAATATGGTGTTCTATTATAAAAGCTTTCATTAACATGTATTAGTAGTAGACTTGTTAAGGTATATTATACAAGCACTTAATCTGTTTATTGTGTTCAATTTGCTCGAGTCTACATGGAGATTAACTTTCAGAAACATATTGTTGGACATTAGTGAAGGTGACCATTATGGACACCATAACAGAGGAAATTGAGCTGAGTACGTAAATTTAACTTTTAGAAACAGGGATATAACTTATAAAATAAAACACTATTTTAAACATTTAGGCACCAGAGGAAATAACAACCATTCCCTTCCTAAAATCTCAGTTCTACTCAAATAATGTGTTGTATTCAATAGTTCATAAAGCAATCAGTACATTGAATGTGTTACGATATAAATGCAATCCTAAAAACATTCCACAGAAGCGCTTAGGTTTCAAATATCACCGATATAAATGCCAGTAACACTTTGGAACACACTCATTACTACAAAATCATGAGTCTATTAGAGAAGAAATGTGATCTCCAAAATTTTGTAATTTTCAATAAACTTTGACAAATAATATAAATTTGTTTAAAAGACTGCCTCACTTGCATTGCTCTTAACAACTAGTGTTACGCTGCCTTACACTTCCAAACATTCAGGACACCCAATTGCAGAACACATACATAGAGTGAAGTTATAACTTTCAAGGTTTTCTTCCAGCTAAATCTTCCAACGTAAGATTCAGTGTGTCAATTGAACCTCTTTTCACCTCTTCTCCACGAGTAGCCAGGAAGTCCTCAACGCTTCCTGGTTCACCAAACCACCCAAGGTGATCTGCAATCAGGTGAAGATTATTACACCCCCCACATCTCGCGACCACTACACCTTTCTCATATGACTCGCGACAAACCGTCTTAATGGATCTCGTTTCACAGACCTTGCAGGTGAAAATCATGGCGAGATCATGCCTTGAGGATGTCTTCAAACTGGACTTGGCAGAAAACTGTACACGAGAGTTCTCATTAACACTAATGGATGTAGCAACATCATCTGGGTTTGAATTCGGTTTTAAGTTGTCAACTTCACTATTCTCTACATCTTCACCAACCGATTTGATTTGATTTGTATGTGTTGCGACCCCCCTTTGATGGAGTCCTAATCTATTTAATATTGCACTGGTAGGAGAATACCAAGAAGATTCTGCCAATAAACAAAATTCACATCAATACAAAAGAAACTTTCTGTTCACACAAAAGGGAAAGCACCACGAGAAAGTGAGAAAGAAATAGAAAGCTCTTCATTTTTTCATAGTATAAACTTATGCTATTAATTGAATGATTAAAGAATGGCTTTAATTACAAGTTAAGAATAAGCATATTGATATTCCGCCACAAAATGGATAAAGAGGAAGACATCATATACAGATTGATTAGAGCAAGTCCAACTCAAGTTAACAATATCTACTACTCTTTCCTGTTATCCAGAAAATAGTTTGTCTTGCATTATTGGAGATGCAGGAGTGAAAATCTGTTTATATAGCAGAATTTTTCATTGCATTATTCCATTCCTTTGAACTAAATCCATCACAGAAGGAAAAAGCTAATTGTATTAATTTTAAATAAATAAACAACCTACATAAAAAAAAATAGATATTTACAGGTATCAATACCTACCTATTTGTTATTCAACATTTGGCGCTTTTACATATTGACATTACTTGTTAAAGAGGATTACCCAATGCACACCCAACATGGAATGCATTTTGTTGGGCAGTTCAGTGTCATTTTGAGAAATTAAGCAACTGATTTGGTGTCTGTTCACTGGTTCAAAGGAGTAATTATTAATAGAGAATAGCAGGAGCACAAGTAGCACAACCAGTTGGGCCAAATTAAAAAAAATACGTTATTTCAAGAAACTATCATCCATCAATATCATCTTTTACTATTGATACCAGAGTGACCTTCATCTTAAGATCATGTGTATACTCGTGCTGCTGTCCATGTCTTCTATTGCTATTGAGATATTTTCCTGGTCGTCCTAATTGCCTAATTAATGCTTATAGACTTTTGATAACATTCATGTGAAGAAGAGTATGATTCAGTTAGTTGAATAACGTGTGTGAATTGCTATGAACTCCAGGTATCTTCTACGTTCAATTCCTATAAATAAATAATAATAAAAAAAATCCCTGAAAACATGATCCTTGACAAGCCAACACTCTTCAGAATCAGTTACGAGGAGCTCTACGGATAAAATGATTGCCAAAAGAAATTAACAATGAAAGGAAAAAGTAAGCACACAAGAAACTTAAATTCAGAGTTGAGAAAATCGGAAAGTCCATCGTAGACAATTTAGTAAACTAGAAACCAGAAAGAAGTAACTGTTACCATTTGCAGTCAATGAAATTGAGTTGTTAAAAACTCAAAACCAGGACTAGTTAAAAAATTGAAAAAAGGGTTTAATTTATGTCATGAATAAAAAGGGGCAGTTTGTGGAAGAAGCACGGTATTGAGTTGAAAGGATCTAAAAGAACACACAGAGAGAGAGAGAGAGAGAGAGAACACACAACACCGTGGAGAGGAATCAGCAAATAAAGAAGGTGGAGACATGCCTTGAATAATGGGGTGATGGGTTTGTCTTGAGAAAATTGAGATGAATCGCCTCTGCAACATCCTTGCCGCCATAGCTCCAAAGGCCATGTGTTATGCTCGGACCTGTTACTTTCTCAGTTTTTGGGCTTTTCTTCTTTTCTACGATACTTCTTTTGGGCTCTATGTGTCTTGTTCTTTAGAGTTAGTCTTTTTGCTATTTCACTCCCTTACTTTGTTAAATTCACTCTCCCTTCACCTTCATAACACCTTAATTTTTTATTTTTTCAAACAGTCATGCTCACACACTACATTTTAATGAGGAAAACACTTTTTTCTTCTAGTTTTCACATTTCTTCTTCGTTCACAGGCCTCACCCTTTTCTTTTTTTTCTTCTTCTCCCGTGAGTTAGAGACGGACAACTATAGTCTCAATCTTATCAATATTGGAGTTCTAATAATCAATAAAACTACCTCCTAAAAAACTATTTTTCTCTCATTTATAAAAAACAAAGCCTAAATATTCAGATAATTAAAAAAAAAACAATTTTAAAAAGAACTTTTCGAAACTATATGGAAACTCTCACAGAAACAATAAAATATATTTTTATTGTGTCTACGGAATCAAAAAGTTGATAAAAATATTTTATATGAACAACATTTAATAAAATTGAAATGAAATTAAGATAAAAATTATGTATCCTTAATACCAAAAAAAAAAAAAAAAGAGCACCACTAAAATGAAGTGTGAAGAATAGAGTTAAAAGATTATATTTTTGTTAGATAAAAAGGGTATATTTGATAGTAAAAATAAAGGAAAGGAAGCGGGAAATAGATATATAGAAAAGTATAAATAACAAAATCAATAGAGTTTTTTCTTCAACCCATGGTGTGTGCCTTTGGCTCTGAGGAAGAAACGTAAATAGAGTTTTTCTTTGCGTAAGAAAATGTAAATGGAGTTTTTCTTTTCATAAGAAAATGTAAAAAGAGTTTAACTTTTTTGCACAAATTTTATGTTATCGAAATGTTTATTATTTAATATTATAAATTGAAAAAAAAAGTTTTCACCATTTATAAATAATCCATTTAACAGTATAATCTTGGAAATGTGTAGTGTAAAATATAAAATATAAGTAGGGAGATAATTAAATTTATATTCGTATAGTCTTGTCTAAAGTTTGATGAAAAATATTGAATTAATCGTATGTAGATTTTCTCCAACTTTGAAAGCAGATGATAATGCAGTCTTACCTCAAATCCGATTTTATTTATATTCTAATTTTATATTAAAATTTAAATTTTTAAATATTAATATTTTAAAAGTATTTTTTTATTATAATAAGATCATTTGTTTATATTTTATTATTTTTATTTTTCTTTTATTCACTCTTCTATTATTTTCTTTTTAATTTTTTCTATCAATTAATTCATTATATTATTATTTTTCTTTTATATTTCACTTATTTATATTTCCTTAATCTCTCCAATCCATTTAGTTTTTTCAATATTTTTAAATAATTTAATAAACACAAAATAAATTTTTATTCTTCTATGTATTTTTCTAAATATTTTACATAAATATTAGTAGTAACTAATATTATTTTATTTATAATTTATTTTTATTAGATTTTATTATCTCATATTTTTTGGATCTTATTATTCTTATTTATCATATATCAAATTTATCTTCATAAAATAATTATATTTTAAAGAATTAGAAAAATTAATAATTAAAATTTTTATTAATAAAATAAGAATTAACTTATTAAATATTTTTTATAAATTATATATTTTATATATTTAAATACGTAATTATAATAATAATAATAATAATAATAATATTATTATAATTATAAGTATTTTATATTTATATAAAAAATAATTAAATATTTTTTTATGTATATATTTTAATATAAATATAATAAGTTAAAATATATATTTAATTAATAATAATTATAAATTATAAAATTATAAATATTTATTTATATATAAAAATATTAAAATTAATTTATTATATATGTAATTAATTTTTTTTTAAATAATGTGATTGGGATTAAAGATGAGATGGACAAATCTAAAAAACAGAGATGAAATCCTAATTTTTAATCCCAACAAAAATTGGGAACAGAGGGATGATTGTAAAAGTTGGAGATAGGTGGTGAAGCAAAACCTAGATATAAGCATTATCTAGTGTAACAAATGGCAGAAACCGAACATATTTAAGGTATTTATTTTGAAAATTTATAATTAGTAATTGCGTTTACTCTATTCATATCTTGAAATTTTGGACATTTTTAATGACGAGTAACCAAGTCATTATTGAGTTAGGTACTATTATTACCCTCTCCAATTCTTGAGTAAAACATGTAGATATATATATGAGAATCATGAGATGATTACTACAAGCACTACACAGAATGATAAGATAGCAACCACGACTTATGATCCTCAGAACAACCCAATGTCAGGTGAAAACAGCAATCAAATTATGAATCTTGAAAAAATATCAAAATCCCAATAAACTGATAACTCAAAGTCCTCGTGATGCATGCTTCCATTCATGTAATTCTGATCCAAATCCAATTCTACACAACACAGAGCAGCCAAAACTTCCATTAAAATATCAACAACATTGTACAGAATCTGGAATCATATACAAGTGTGAATTATATACATCAGTCTCTTTCTTTGCAGAATCAGTTTTTCTCTTCCTTTTTTTATAATAAAAATTTATGGAGTTAAAAGAATGGAAATCAAAAGAAAAGAAAAATTCCCCAAACCCCAAAAAACGTCACCGTGGGGCCAACGAGACGGACAAGTCAATATCGGTTCCCAATTTCTGATCCCACTCCTTCGATTCCAGATACAACTTTGACACCTCAATCGATACCCGATCCATGTCCGGTCTCTCGTCCGGGTCACTCCCGACACAGTCCAATCCCAGCCGAATCATCCTCTCCGCCACATTCACCGGAAAAGAGTCCCTCAGCCTCTTATCCACCCACTTCCTCACACCGCCGTATTCCCCCGCCGCCACTCTCGCCGTATCCACCACGCTCGTCCTCAGATAACTGCCGTCGTCGTTGAATTCGAATTTCACTGCCTCTTCGCCGCTCAGTAGCTCCAGAACCACCACGCCGAACGCGTACACGTCGCACTTCTTCGTCGCGACGCCACTGACCTGAAATTCGGGCGCCATGTACCCTCTCGTCCCCTCGATCCTCACCCTACGCCCGCCGGATTCCTCTCCGGAGCCAGAAACAGCCTCGCCGCAGAGATCCGACGCGCCAAAGTGGCAGATTTTCCCGCGCAAATTATCCTCCGTGATAACAATGCTGGAGCTCTTGATGTGATTGTGAACGAAACCTGAACCGCAATCCGAACTAGAACCGGAGAAATTGTGGATGTAATCGAGGCCGTGCGCGACGTCGGAAGCGATCTGCATACGCGAGGTCCACGTGGCGAGATCGGTGAAGCTAGGATTCCGGCGGTTACGGAGGCAGTCGGCGAGACTGGCGCCGGGGACGAATTCGTAGACGAGGAAGATGACGGTGCCGGAGACGGAAGCGCCGAGGAGTTTGACGAGGCTGCTGTGATGGCTCCGGCAGATGAGGGCGAGGCGGTGGCTGAGCTCCGGGAGGTCGATTTGTTGGCGGAAGTTGCGGCGAGAGACAACAACATCGCGGTGGCGAATTAGACAGCGCCAGGAGGAGGAAGAGAGGCGTGGGGCGGAGAAGTTGGCAGTGGCGGCGGAGATCTCGGAGAAGTGGTAGATGTTAGGGTTTTCAGGGAGCGTGTCTTTGAGGCTTGAGAGAGAGGCGCGGCTTGATATGGACGAGGTTTTTGACCACTCGAATAAGTCGTTGTTGTTGTTTTCGAATACGTAGCTTCTTGATTCTGTGATTGGGACATCGCTGGTGGAGGTATCGTAGTTCGACGACGGCGATGTTAGGGTTCGCGTTCGGTGCGGACGAGGGGAATTGGCCATGTTTGTGTTGGTGTCGTTGGTATTTCTTCTGGTTCGGGGTTGTACCGCAGTGGTGCTCTTCTTGGATTTGCACATCGAAGGGAGAGATTGTGGCTGTGGCTAATGTGCGCCGGGGAACAACCTCATTGCATGACTTGGCCTTGTTGTTGGGTCGGCGTTGGTGGGCGTGAGAAGAACGAAGAAGCAGTGGTAGAAGTATTGTGCTCCAATTCCAACACTCCTGTCTCTCTGTTTGGTTGGATTTTGTGTTCTTCCTTGATTCGTTTGCGTGGTGTTTTAAAATGTGACTCACACGTGGCTGCTACTTACACTTCCCTTTCCACTTTCCACCTTCGATTCAACAAAGTTTTTCATGCCAAACAAGTTGCGTCACGTTCAACACCTCTCCGTTTCTCCATTTCGAAACCTTTCTTCGTGTTCAAAGTTACCGCATAACGCCTTCTTTGTCAGGGACGCAAACAAGAATGTGACATAAAACCCACGGTTTTTGAAGCAAATATTAACGTTTTGTTCGAGATTTAACATTGTGAAATGATTTAGTAAAATGACTTATTTATATATATATATATATATATATATATATATATATATATATAAATAATTAATAATAATCATTTTATTAAAATTAAAATGAAATTCTTTCAAGTTATCCGAACAGATGTGAAATGAAATTCTTCTGTGTTGATAAATTTCTCTCAGTATAAAAGGTACATAGGAGATATCCTAATATTATAATACATTGAAATTTCATATTAAATAAAAATGTGAAAATTAAAAAATTTATAAGTGATAAAGATTTATAATGTTGATATTTTAAAATTTTGGATTGAAGTTGATTTGATATTCTATTTATATAGTAGTTCATAACTTATTATTAAGAATATCTTATTATTAATTTCCTCCAAAAACCTCACCTTAGAATCTTCTTAATTAATAAGGGACTAATCATTTTATTAAAATTAAAATTAATAAATAGATAAAATTAAAATATCCAAAAATTAAAGTGGTTTAAAATTTTGAAGACTATTAATAATTTCATTAATTTAATTATTATTTTACCTATTTTAATAATTTTAAAACAAAATTGATGATTTACTCTTCAATAATTTATGCCAGTGTGTTGTATTTTTGACAAATAGTGTTATTTGTTGAGAAAATTAAGACGCCCAATTTTGTTATTCTGAAAAATAAAACCTTGAATATTATTATTTATTAATAAGTTTAATTATCGATTAAATTAGTAATAATACGTAACCTATAGGTTAATAATACATTTCAAGTTAAATAGTATATATATATATATATAGACACACATTAGTGTTATACTCAAAATTTAAGTCCAATGTAAAATTGATCCGAGTAGAAATCTGAATCCTTTAAGAAAATGTCTTAAATTCAATCCCAAATATTATTTGTGTGAAAAATATACATATAAGAGAACTACTAAAAATCTAATCAATTCGAACCAAATTATTATCCAAACCAAGCACATTTAGAACATTAAAATAATAAAACTAAACTAGTTTATATTTAACAAACAGTTAACTAAACTTTTTTTTTTATAAAAAAGCTGTTTTGAGCCAACTAATATTTTGTCTTAAAACTAATATGAAAATTGTGTCATCGAGCTTTTCATTCTTTCATCTTTAAAGCATGGAATCAATCTACCGACGCAAAACCGAACAAAGGCTAAAATAACTTTTTGAATAAATTTTAAAGAATAAAACATTTTTTTCTAAAAACTACTTTTACAGGAACCTAGGTAATTTTAGGAAAAAAAGAAGTTTTTGATTGCGAAATCCAATATCAAATTTGTAAGTAGAATTTTATATCAATAATCATAATTGAAATAAAAAAAGATAGCAGTGCACGAATTCAAAGTATGAAAAAAATAATCTGTTATTAGTGGCATGCAAAAGTAAGTTGAGGTAGAGAGTTCAAGTATACATTGAGATAAAAAGTACTTTTGAGGGATTTAAAACGTGTTTTACTTTCTGGATACTGTAACACATGCATATTGCTACTTTCACGCAGCCAGAAAAATTAATCAGAAATTTTCCATACAACCATTAAAGGTTTATAAAATGATAAAAACAACTCATCTATTCAAAGAATGAATCCATAACTGAATAATGATCCTACAAATGTTATTTCATTTTATAAAATTAAAATAGAAAGCAAATAATATTCTACTAATTTAACTTATCCTATAAAATCATTTATCTACTTAATCTTCTCTCTTTATCAGTGCACCCGAGTTGAATGAGAACCTTGGCCTCAAGGTTCTGAAATAAATTTGGACGGTTGAGGATGAAACTGAAAAGATAGACATGTGAATTGGTGGGATTAAACCAAAATACGAAGTTTTTTACTCATGGGTGGTTGGAAAGAATGGCAAGTCACACTTGCATCATGAAAAGTGGAGGTGATGGGGCAGCGAAGGGTTCAAAATAAGTTAGCTTTAATCTTTCAAAGAGAGAAACTAACCAATGGGATTTGGATTGAAAGTTAACGAATGGAATGGAAGGGTGTGGCAAACCGAGGGAAAAATTAGAAGGGTGGTGAAGGAGGCTGAGATTGGGGTAGTAATACTGATATTGTTGCTGAGACAAGGTGCAGGGGAATGGTATTGAAAGTGAGAAAGGGGAGCAAGGTGATGAAAGCACCATTTGACAGGGAGCTAATACCTATCTATTGGAAAACACTTAAAATCTACCAAGAAAGGTATAAAGAAAATAAACATAAGCATTCATATTTCTCATTGACAGATTCATTATGGGAGGGGTTGAGGCTTGCAGTAGCAGATAATTGGAAGGACCATTATTAGTTTATTGAAGTGGATGGACAGCAGCTGACTTGGGGGGAAAGGCAACTGGATGGGTCAGCCCATCCCATTATATACCTATGGGAGTTGATTATAATAATACTAATAGGTATATGGGTGAAAATTGCAAAGGATAAAATTGAAAAGAAAAAAAAAATCAAACTACCTTAACAAAAAACACCGGGAAAATGTAGATAACCAGTAAGAATATGCAGTGTCAACTTGATGTTTTACCACTGAATTTACTAGCCAGGAGGAAAGTACATACAATCATTGAGAGCACAAATCTTGGTTCTTACTCTCAGCTTTCTTGTCCCCCTAAATAACAAATGATGTTAATCCAACGTAATATACAGCAATAATGAACAACTACATATCCAGAAAGATCAAAGGAATTAACAAAAGTAAGCAATTAGAGGCATGACCAACCAACATGATGCAGCTTCCTTAAGGAGGGTTTTCCCTCCTTTAGAGTCTGCTGCTAAACCTGAATTCTAGTTATAGAGAAAGATCAAAACTCTCTGGATTTACCAACTCTAACTGCCTTCAAATGAAATGGATATTGAGCACCTACAAAACAACCATTCTATCCTAACTTTACAACTAACCAGAATGCTTATGTATGGTCAGACACGACTCTATGCCTCACTTCTCACCAATCTAACTGCAAATATGCACATGTTTGCAAGAACAAAAAGTTCACATGAATATCAAGCACGAGGTTTCACATGGTGTCCCGTTTTCCGTCTGTGCCTGCTAAAATCTGATACAAATCTGAAGGAAAGGCCGCATCCCTCAACCTTGCAGTGATAAGGCTTCTCACCAGTATGTACGCGAATGTGCTCTGTCCTTGCCCAAGCCCACTTGAATGACATGGAACAACCTTTCCATGGGCACTTAAGGGGCCTCTCATCATCATGAACACGCTGGTGAAGTAAAGCATATTTGTGAGAACTGAACTTCTTACCACACCCTTCATGCGGGCAAAGGTTTCGTTTGTGCAACAATAACTCTGCCTTAGTCTTGAAACTCATTCGGCAACCATCGAGGTCACACTTGTGGGGCTTTTTAACACCATCTTTTTTACTTTTGTGAAGAACCAAAACTTCAGAAGATCGCCTTGCTCTTTTAGCCACCTGATTTTCCTTGTCAACTTGGTTGATTTCTACCCTAATTTTTCCAGCAGCAATCTTCTTAGATCTTGGCCTCAGCCCCTCACATGGACTTCTAATGAAGTTGTCGGAATTGGATTGGTTCCTTGTTGTTTGTTCCACTTTCCTCTTTTTTCTCATCCCAGCATTCGATCTGGGATCTTCTGTAGCCAACTCACAACTTTCCAGCTCCCTTTTATCTTGTGACAAATCAGCATTGGTTTCATTTATGTTTGGTTTAACATAAATCTCTTTCTCATTTTTTGAGCATTCCTGCATTGAGAGAGAAGAGTCCTTTACCAATGTATTAGTGCCAGAGCAAAATTCCTCATCAATTCTATTATCTGACTGGATTTCTATTTCCATTTCTTTATCTGGAATAAATTGAATACATGAGTCTTTGTTAGGACAGGTTTCCAATGAAACTTCAGAACATCCTAATTCTAATGAAGTTACGCTTTTATCTTCACCGTTTGCAAGATAACTAGAAACAGGTTCCTGATTAATTTTATCCATATTTTCAATCGGACACTGCTCTGTTGGACACCATTGTTTTGCTGAAACATGAGTGGACTGATTTATTTCCCTTTTGCTGTCTTTTCCACCCTGAGTTTCATGTTGCATCTCACCATCCAAGATTCCATTATTATGCAAGTCTGCAGAAGCATAAAGCTCTCTTCGAACTTCGCAAACTTCATTTGGAGTAGTTTCACTAATTTGCTCGTCATCAACAACAGGTTCCTTGACCCTTTCACTAACAGAATCAATTTCTTCTTCAGCTGTCTTTTCTAGGAAAATAGGAGTCCTAATTTTTTCTGCGGTGTAATTATTATTTAGACTTTCAACATTTCCATCCATGGATGCAAGTGTAGATTGATTTACCATTGAAGCAGGTGACAAAGCAGCTTCCTCATTGTTGCTTTTGCAGGTAAACTGATATTCTTGATCCCCTTCATTATCCAATGATAACCTATTACACTTGCTATCAATGATAACTGCTTCTGTAAATTCAATCTTTCTAATCATTTCAATATTTCCATCTGTTGCATTTGAAAGTGAGCTAGAATATTTCTTGTCCTGACAATTTTGGCTCTCCTTGCCACATATTTCTGAGACACTGGTATTACAATGAATCTTAGAATAATTGCGTGTTAAATCATTATTTCTGTCAACATCTGATTCCTGCATGGTTTGATTCTCAATCTCTGCTCCAACTTTTTCAATCATTAAGCTATGATCAGGAATGGAATTTGAAGGTTGTGACTTAGTAGCATTCATTCTCGTGCTCATGGACATTTCAGCAATCTGAAGTTCAGGATGCATTGCAGACATTTCAGCAGAAGCAGAGGCACATGGCAATGGATACTGAGTCCTGAAATTCTCTGTTTTAGAAACATAATTATTATGATCCGCAGTCAAAGTAGTTGACACATTTTTGGACTTCTCTTGGAATACACAGCCCATGTTTGGTACAGGGAAACACCTTTGCTTTGACCTGAACTTCCTTCTTGAATATTGAATTAGCTTCTTTTCAGCAGAGGTGTCATTTATTCTTCCACCCAACTGATCATCCTTCTTTTTCTCAATGTTGTGAGAGGATTTAGTCTGAGCTAAATGACCTGACCTTTTTGACCGAGATCTCCGTGACTGCCAATTTAAAGCTAAAATATTGGAAGCAGGACATTTATCATTGAACAATGTCCCTAGTGTCCAAGGAACTTGTTCAGATGGAGCATTATTTCTTGCATGGACCCAATTCCGTAGGTTAATGCCTAGTTTAGATGTCCAGTCTTCACATTCATCATGTTCTTCACCATCAACAGCCAGATCGATCAGAGTCAAATTTTCTGGGGATGCACTATCTAATGGAACCTCATTATAATCAAAAGTACCATGTATCTCTTCCGCCACTGCCCTGGCATGTGCCTTTATTTTCTGATAGTCTACAAAAATGCAGAAAAGTAAACGTAAATAACTACATTAAATATTTGAACGACACATCTATGTTTGTCATGCTTCTTGAGTTATAAAATAAAACTTCCATTTCTTTTACTGACAACATAAATTATATATCGATCAACAGCTGACCTTTGTGCACATCGATTTCATATCTATCAGGTCCTGTGGTATGTATATGGTTTATACAGGGAATATTGATTACTCATACAATTTTTGTAAAGTCAGGGATTAACGGAGGGTTGTGTAACCTCAGGGACTAAAATGCCCAAGTCATACAATTTTGAGGACTAATGTGCTGGTTAGCGTGCGTTTGGAGCCTAGGTGGGGAAAGAAGAATAGTAAAAAATTGGAACTAACTAACTGGTATTAATTTGATATGATACAACTAACAAAATATTAGGCCTCATTCATGCTATAACACCAGAATCATATCCTAATTTAATAAGCAAACAAATCATGAAATATGGAAACCAGGTCAAAGATATCATCCATGATTTAAGGTATTCCAACATAATTCAACAAACCCTATTTATGTGAAACTGATCAGATTGATATATAGAAGAGCAACAAGCTTTCCTTACTGTATTGAAGTTGAAAGCTGCAGAAAACAGAAAATCTTGCAATTGGACACTTGATTTTACCCAACTTTTACAGAATGATAATGCAGATAGATTTATAATCTGAAAACTAACCTGAATGGCAAATTATAAGCACATTGGCTCCACCTTTGCTCTGCAACATCTCTACTATTTGAACAGCATGCTCCAGGCAGAAAATCCGAGGCCTAAAAAATTTACTTGAGGTGTTCCAAAATTTATTGCACTCATTTAATGATTGATCTGGCATCTCCTTTAATGATGAATGTTCAGAAACAGAAAGATCCCCTGAAGAATAGATCATAAAGTAACTCATTTAAACATTAAGTGTTGTCTGTATAGCAAAGTAAAGGACTACCTCAAAAGGCTCAACTTCAACTGTCAAATATGTTTTGGTCATCATTTAGCTTCCATAATATAATAAATATAGAAAAGGAAAATGCAAACAGAATGATACAAAGTTGATAATCATAAGATCAGGAGTACGCCAAATTTCCAGTAAATGCAGCAGAGTATAAAATAATTTGGGTCAAAGTGATTTGGTATTTTGGTTCATTATTACACAACCGGAACCAATTCAATATATAAAAATTATAGCCACTAATCAAATACCATGTAAAAAAAGGGTTGAAATGATCGTAATAAGGTGTCTAGCAGGACAAGATCCACACCACAACTGATTTCCTACTAATATTTGATTCTATTTGATCCAGGAATTTAGAAGATTTTCAAGAGACCAGTATCATAATAACTCTACAAGTTACAACTTTTCACCTTGCCCACATCCATAGTAGTTGACAAGTTCAATTTTACCACATGATAATGCATAAAAGGCATAAAAACCTACATAAATGTGATAAAAATAAATATATACAATTGAGAAAGCATGAAGGTATTACTTGATATGGAACTATGAACACAAGCAGTAGAGTCCGGAGTGGAAACTTGAACTAGATGATTATCAGGAAGAAGTTCCATTGTCAATTTCTCAGTTGGTTGTATCACAGTCATAAATGGAAAACCAAGGATTCCACAACCCACACAAGCCAATGCTCCAGAATCAGTTTGGAAGTGACAGGGAAGATCATCACCACCAATGTCTAAATTAGCCAAACAATCCATATACAAACTCATCTCATCAAGCAGATAACTACTCTTTTCTGCAGAACTAATATTTGACATGTCTGGCATAGAGGTTCCAGTCGTAGAAGTTAAGTCAGGCAACTGAAAATCTTTGCTGGAATCTGGCAGTAAATCAGCATTCCATAAAACAGCTCTTTTACTAGCTTCCTTTCCAAGAAGAATGGATATCAGCTTGTTTTCCTGTAGCATGTCATCTATGAAAGCCTGTTTTACTAAATATTCCCTCTCCTCTTTCTGACGGTCTCTCAAACGAGAACTCCGCACACCAGGTAATAGTGTTCTTGGAACTCTATCAAATCAAACATATCATCAGGAAGAATAAAAAATATGTAACTCATTTGAAACCTAGATACAAGCAAAACGTATTTTAAAGTAATGCATCTGAATGTTCGAATAATCTTTGTGAAAAAAAAAAAAAATGCAGACAGATTTATACCTACATCTATACCTATACAATACAAAAGCTAACCGAAATATTCCACTTCAAGATCAAATTGAACCAAATATACTTTACATTTTAAATCTAAAATAGTTCAGTTGCATACGATATAGCACAGATTAAAATTAAGTAATTCTGATAAAAAATAATCAAGTGATTATTATTTACAGATTTTAAGAAAAAAGTATAAGCTAATTTATGTTTGTTTAAAATCATAAAAAACACTTTAAAAAACAGCTGATTTTATGAGACGCTATCCAAAATAGCCCTTTATTTTAATTAGATTTTAGACTGTTTACAACCTCTGATTATTTGGAAAAGTTGAAACAAGCACATGAAAAATTAAAAGTTAGCATTTTTTTAAAAATGATTTTTTACAAGAAAATCTCTAACAAACATTCTCATAAGCTAGTAAAGCACCAAATATCTATATTATGAAACTTGAATATATTAGGGTAATAATAATAGCACAGGACTTGCAATATTAGTATCCATTCATGTCATTAAACAACTGGTGATATAATTATATAAAAATCACTAATGGCCATCACAAATATTTAAGAATGATTATCACCCATTGTTATTGGTAAATAAAATAAGAGGTAATTATTTATTGGAATGATAATATAATCTATCTACATAGGGAAGTATCTATGTATTACAAGCAGAGGTGGAAAATTCGCTTACCTTGAAATAAAAGACATGGTCAGCAAGTAAAGCAGTTGCTGATGGGAAAGCATCGGAAGATAGTTCATTGCAGCTCTCCGCACTGCAGCTTCCTTAGCTACTCTAAGCCATTGTGGAGTTCCAAAGTTAGCAGCTTCCCCACAGTTAAAACCTTGATTTCACCAAGTGGAAAACAAAATGAGAATTATGTTGACAATTGAAGAAAAAGAGACCTAACGAGACACTATAGGGGGAATAAGAAAAATATTGCTGCAAAGATCCCACGGGCAGATAATAGATTTATCTTTAACCATAGATGCCATGATTGAAATTTAAAGCTAACCACAATTTAGTTCCAATGGTTCCTTGTAAAAAGATCCAAGCAAAGAAAAGAAGTTAAAAAGGAAGGGCAAAAACAAATCCACCAGAACATTGTAAATAGTAAAGATCTAAGAGAAACAGAACAAGCAAACTATTTTTACACAGTGAATCAATTATTAACCCTCTGAATGCTCAACTTTGAGCATAAAAACTGCACTCCTTTCATAGTCCTCTTATGCCTCTCACTCCCCAGATATCTTACATCAGATTCTTTAGTTTATCTCATGGTATTAAATTCTTAAAAATACTATATTAATTGTATACATTAGAAGAACACAGCTATAAGAAGGTAGTAGTAGTTAGCCGAAGAGTGGGATATCCAAAAGATGCAACAGAGTAACATTTGTTATTTTTGGTCATAATATTTGGTGCCTTCTGAAAAGATTTAATTTTTTTTTAATCACTACATATGTTGTCATATTTTGTATCCTATATTTTACGAAATGTTATGCCCCTATATTGTACCTGTTTCATACTTGATAGTTATGTATAAAAGCATTGGTAGAAGATGCCTGATATGATTCCCTCGTCCCTGTAGCACATTATAGTTTAAGCAAAGAAATTTTTATTTTGTTCGCTCAGCATGAGATTTAATTCCATGGAGGCAGGGTGAATGATGTTCTCTGGTAACTACCTGCTGCAAACATGGCAGCTAGGACCCCAGTAGCATGGAAACGGAGGGAGGGATTCAGCAAGAATTGGAAAGCAAAAGAAAGAGGTAGGAAAGAAGTGAGCAGAACAGATTAGGGGGGAGAGACCAGGAACTCTCAAATCATCACTGTCATCAGTTTTCTTGTTTCATTTTGAGAGTACAGTACCCACATCCATTCTCTGGTGTTACTAAATCAGTGCCATCAGAGGGGATTCTATAAACCAATAAAGCAGTGCCTCTTAGTTCAAGTTTTGCTAACTGGTATCAACTATCAAACGTTCAACCATGTCTCAGTTGCAAATGAGCGGTCAGGTGATGATGCCAGCATTCAAAGTTTGCCTGGGAGTAGTTATTAAAAGAGCTAGTTAACAGTCAGCCCAGAGCACCAGGACTGCAGAGCATGTGGAATGATACGACCGACTACAAGGTATGAGCCTTGAGTTGCATAATTGAAGAACGGGGACCTTATGTGCTTGGGCTGTCTCATCACAGAATAACTAGCTTTTGTGGTGTGGTTCTAGCATGAGTCATAAAATAAAAAGTGAGCATAGTGGAGAGGAATTTTAATACTTTGTAAGTAAACTTGAACCTCCAAATGGCATCACCAACACACAACATTGACAGCAACCAAGGCTTATCCAACTAGGTGAAATTGGCTAAATGAATTAGTCAATGGCTCAACTCCATTTGGTTCTATCAAAAACTACAGTAAAACCATTTAGAGAGAGGCATTTTCTATGGTTTCTCCTAATTATTTCTTATGCCATCATACACCCCTTTTAATTAAAGTCCATTTGATCCATTTTTCTCACTAGAACCTCTGTTGATCTTACTTTCCTCATAACTAAACCACCTTTATTTGTTTATATCATCTTCTCAATGGTTACTACAATTTTCTCCCAAATATATTCATTCTTAATCTAACCTTTACTATTATATTTTCTCATCTTCCTCAGCATTCTCATCTCTGCTACACTTACCTTTTGCTCTAGTTGGCACCCTACAGCACATATTCTCTACCATATAGCATCATTGGTTATATAGCTGTTGGGTAGAACTCAAGTTTGATAGGCACTTGATCACAAGTTACGCCTTCAGAATTCCTCCCACCCACACGGTATATTTATAATGTCATGAAAAAATATTGGGCTCACACTAGCACATAGTTTAAACTATATATTTTCAGAATGCAAGGCCAAAATAATTTCCCTCACATTTAAAAAACAAAAGTTCCCATTATTCTTATCAAACACTACAGAGTATATATTGATATTCTAAATGAAACCATCAAACAATTTATGAAGTACTAGCATTTTTTAATTGTAGTCTTCAATATGCAAGTTATTTCTTTATGTAACACTTGTCAAACTATATAGTTTCAGAATGCATGGCCAAAATAATTTCCCTCACAATTCAAAAACAAAAGTGCCCATTATTCTTCATATCAAACACTACAGAGTATATATTGATATTCTAAACAAAACCAATTATCAAACATTATATGAAGTCCAAGCATTTCTTAACTATAGTCTTCAATATGCAATTTATTTCTTCATGTACCACATCATGTCAAACAGCTCTATATATCACACGTTGCAGAAAGACCAATCACTCCACAAGTCATAGGCTAAACACATTCGACACCAGTTTTCTGCAAAAATCAGGAATGCACATAGACTTCAAAGCAATTACCATGGCTGAATCCTACATGATAAGCTCTTGGAAAAGTCACAACAAATTCGCCAGGGTTCTGTGTTAACCTAGAAGGAAAATCCAGTGCATACGTAAGTTTGAAGTTCAACAGAGAGCAAGATGTACTTTAAATGATAATATTTATTAAGTACATAATTTAACATCATAGATATTCTCAAAATATAAGATTGTTAAATATAGCAAGCAACTGACCTGCAACAAGGGATTCCAGATGCAACAATTACCTCAGGTGACAAAAGTGTTGTTTTTTCACCCAAAAGTTTCAAAGCGGCTGGCAAGAAAAGAAACTGTACTTGAGTTACAAATTCACTGTAGAGGTTATAGCATTCAACTATATTATGAATAAAATGGATATACTAAAAAGAAAAATAAATGAGATGAACAGGTTTGAATTCAAACAAATAAATTTCTTATTTTCAGAAGGAAACAGTGAAAACAACTTCGATTACTTTTCTTTATTTCTGTTTCACTTTAACCCTTAATATGCAATATCAATTAAGAAATTTGGTTTTGCCCTAAAAGCAAACACATGTCCATGTTTAACACAAGGGCTGATACTTCACTGCTACATAGTAAAGTTAGACTGTTAAGAGGTGCACACACACACAGTTCTTAGCTATTTTCGGTATATATTTTACCTTACAAAGTACGTGCTTAGGTAATTTTCAGTCATAAATTTCTATTGAAGATTTGCTATATGCCACAACAGTGTCAAGTTGTGTCCCGTGTACACTGCAGTTTCATATGCCTTGAAAATTACTTGTGTTTGTATTTTTGAAGTCAAAATAGAACAAAAGTCTGAATAAGGGAAATATATTAAATAAATTAGACTATTAAGGCCTTCTCCAACCACAAGTTTTAAAAATTGAAAGAAATAATAGAAAACAAGAAAAACTAATTAAGCATTTACAGAATTGCATTGCATGTGCCACTAAGAGAAATTACCACACTTTTCGAGAGGAAAATAGAAATGCCAAAACAACATTAGCAATATTAAAAAGGCAGACATGTATGCCAAAGGACACACATTTACTCGCAAGGCGTGGTAGCAACACTCCTAAGACACTCTTTTTTATTGGTTGGAATTTGTTAGAAAATCACGACATGTGTGAATTCCTCTCCTTATTTAGTGCACCCTACTTCTGGCCATGTAAATTTCAATAAATTTTAACAGTTAAGAGTGTGTAAGAAAAGCTGTGTTATTCTTACAAGCAAATATAAGTATAATTGACACTATAAATCACTACAAACTTTTCTTGGTATATCATGCCAAATAGCATAATCAAATTTTTCCTTCCATATGTACGAAAGAACTTACAGAATCATTTTAATAAAAACATGAAAAAAACTAATGTCACTTCAAACTTTGGTGCCAAATATTCAGTAAACATATAGCAGTGAAAACATTCACATACCTAAGTGATCAATATTACCACCATAACCCTCGGTGCGGATGACTTCCTCAAAAGCAAAGGCATAATCTCCAGGAACAGCATACCAAGTCTTTGATGAGCCAGTGTGAAGAAAATTCATACTGTGAAGCTCGTGATCCTCTACATGCCAAGCAAACCAACTGAACAGCATACCAATGTATACCATAGGTGAAGTGACACCAGGAATATCATCTGGCATAAAACGTGTCAGTGAGCCAGATGATCGTGCAATAATTTGCAGGTTCCAAGGACTGTTTGAAAGCTTCCAACCAGCAGTGCCTTGCATATCATTGCTGGTATCTGAACTCTTTTCCTTAAAAGATTGTGAATCTTCACTTGATGAAATTGTTGATGCAGTAGCAGCTGATTTGGTCATCCGTAAACATGTGTCAGAATCATTTTGGACAGAAGCACCCTTGTTCTCATCAGTTTGGTTATCTCTTCGGCAACCCATTGCAGTTTGTTTACAATCAGAGCTATCTAACCTACTCTTATAATAAGTTCTCTTTCTTTGCCTTCTATGACTATAACGAAATTGACCCTTGGACTCTTCAAATGCAGACCCAGGCACGTCATTGGCATACTCCACATATATTGGCTTTTCTAAAGTAGCCTTCCAGAACATAGACTCTATAACCAGAGGAGAAACATCCTTCACCGACCCTAGCAAGCTTCTTGCAAAAGACTTCGATTTTGATTCAAACTGTTCCAGAGTATAAACCTCCCCACTTTGCCATACTTGCTTATGAACCCCTGACAATGGATTCTGAACTGTCCCTTTGGCTTTTTTCACACTCTGACTCTGCCCTAGTTCTTGATGCCTTGTAGTAAACACTGCTCGCGACACCCCATCACTACTACCATCCACAGAACCGGTTTTCAATGAATTACAAACACCCAATGAACTGTTATCTGGACCCAAATCCGGGCACTTTAAGAGTGACCTATTCAAATTAGAAAAGACATATTTTTTTGAAGGTTTGGGCAATGGTGGGATAATCTTACAAATCCCAAAGTTGGCAGCTTCCTTCTCAATCTTTGAAATGTAAGCAATTGGGTCAGCAAATTCAGTGTCTGTAGGGCGAAACTCCGGGGCCAGTGGCAACCCTTTCAGCCAATTAGGGATTTCAATACTACCCATTACATAAAATAAAAATAAAAAAGAAAAAGAAAAAATGAAGATTTGTAACAGCAATGCAAGTTGGAGCAGAAGGCTAATTCTATTCAATCACGTGCAGCACTAGCGCCCATTGAGATTTTCAAAAACCTAACGAGGGTAAGAGATTTGGTGAGATATTTCATAAATTTGAAGCAATTGGGAAAACTATAAGGTCATGGGTTGGGCAAAATAATGAACTGGGAAGTAAAAATTGAATGAAGAAGTGAGTTGCAGAACCTGTAACTGCAAGGCACTGTGCATGATTTGGCCTTCAAAGTTCAAACCCACCGTATAATTCTTGGACACAGAAAGAGAAGGTGGTTTTTGATTATGTGGTGAGTGACATTTTCTATCAGCTCACATTAGTCATCTCGTCGTTCACTCAGCTAATTTGCACCGCAAAGGAACTCGATAATCATCAATTGTCTTGTATTTTTATTTTTCAAAATATTAATTACTAATAATGAACTACTTATTAATATCAATTATTAATTATTATTTTATAAATTTACAAGGTAAATATTTATTTCTATATGCTAACTATTTTAAATATATAAACTATATTTTAGAGTTATAATGAATAAATTAAATTTTAATTTAAGATTATTATTATTGATTGATATTTTAAAGAAAATATATCAAAATTAATAGAGATAAAAATGTAAAGAAAAAAATATATTTGTTGTGACAGTATATCTAAAGAAAATGTAAGGAAGTGATATGTATTATATATATTATTATGTGCATTTTATGACATTTATAGAAAATTTGGAACGTTTTTATTTGTAATAGGTATTAAAATTAATATATGTAGAAACATAGTTTATAGTAAAAATATCTAATGACAGTTTATATATAACAAAGAAAACAATTAATGTAGTTGATAAAACTAATTTTTAAAATTTTGACTTAGTCCAAACATTCATTCAACGTCAATAAAGTCTCTAAGATATCTAAATCTTTCAGTTTTAAAATCTTAGTAAACACGTGAACAAGTTATACTTTAAACTTACACTATATGATTTCAAGTTTGTAGTTGTTCACTTGTTTACATAGGAAATGAAATATTGTTTTAACGTGTTTACTCCTACCATAGAAAGTAGGATGTTTAGTCAAGTCTATTACATATTTATTATCCACCAAGAGTTTTGGTTGTTGTACTAGATTTACATTCAATTCCTTCATTAACATTCCTCACAATGTTGCCTGACATGTAACTTTTGATGCTACTATGTATTCTGCCTCGCAAGAAGATAAAATTATAACAAATTCCTTGACTGAACTTTATGACACTAGTGCACCTCCACAGAAAAACACATATCTAGTAGTGTTTTTCCTGATATTTTTGTCTCCACACCAATCTGCATCACTGTATCCAACTATGTAAATACCTTAATAACCTTTTAGTAGCATTCATGTGAGACAGCTTTGGGTTCTGCATGAACCTACTTATTAGACCTACACCAAAGTTTAAATCTGGTCTTGTGCTGCACAAATACCTTAAACACCCAACAATCTTGCGATAGAGAGTGGGATCTACATGCTCTTCATCATGTTCTTTTTCTAGTGGGTGTTGTTGTAGGATTACACTGATTCATACCAAATTTTGATAACAAATATTTTGCATACATGGTTTGATGTATCAATGTGCCATGTTCTATATGAAAAAACTCAATTCCCAGACAATAATTGAGTTCACCAAGGTCACTCATTTCAAACTCATTCAACATTTGAGATTTGAATTAAGTAATCAAATTTGTTCTGCTTCTAGTCACTAGCAGATCATTAACATAAAGACACACAATTAATTTATCTTTTCTTTTGTCACTGTGGGAATACTTCACGTACACACCATGTTCTCTGTCACACACCTCTCAAAACCAACTTGATGGAGAAAACTATGCTTGAGGCCATGTAAAGCCTTGTCCAGCTTGTATACTTTGTGTTCTTGCCTCTTAATTTCAAAACCCTGAAACTGCATAATATATACTTCTTCATCAATTGACCCATTCAAGAAGGTTGATTTCACATCTAATTGGTGCATAGACCAATTCTCATAGGTTGTAACTGAGACAATGATACAAACAGTCTCAATTCTTGCTATTGGAGCATATATCTCACCATAATCAACCCCAGCCTTTTGCAAAAACCCTTTTGCCACTAGTTAGACTTTATTTCTCACAACTTTCCCGTTTAGATTCACCTTTACCTTGTAAATCCATTTCAATGTTATAGGTCTTTTGTTTAGAGGCAGATCAACTAACTCCTAGGTTTGATTCTTTTCTATAAAGTTAATTTCTTCATGCATTGATTTTAACCAATTCGTATATGAGATGTCATCCTTGAATTCTACATATTCGACTTCTATAACTGATACAAAGTGAACTAGATTTCCTTCATATGTAATTGTTGAATCATTAAACATCTCATAATCCTGAAAATGTGATAGTAATTGAGTAACCCTATGAGATCTTCTTGACCATTTTGTTCATCCACGACAGATGTGTTGTTCGTTTTCATTATACCATAATTGTCACTTAGTATGATGCTAGACTTTGACATATCTCCAATAACATTTCTTTGATTACTTGTTTTCTAATTCGAACATGATGATTCATCATTTACAACATCCCTACTGATTGAGACCCTTCTTGTTTCAGAATCATATAGATGATAAGTGCCCACAATCAGTAAAATTTCATATGAAATTCTGGTACTTTTGTTTCAAATTATGTTTATTTGGTATTAATTTTCTCTAATCTAAGAAATATGAAATTCAATCATATGTTTCCAAGATTTTATTTAAAAGGAAATTATTTGATCCCTATTTTATGTATTTTTTAGGTAAATTAAGATAGAAGGAGGAAAGGACTTAAAAGAGTAAAAAAAGAAATCAAGAAATAGAGAAAAAAGGGAGGAAATTTTGCCACAGGTCGCTAAAGCTAGAATGATTTCATCTGCTGACTAGAGGAATATCATTTCTTATGTCATTCTCATCAAATCGATATAGACCTTGTTTGGGCGAGATTCGTCTAGAGAGTCATCAATTTTGGGTGTCATTCTCGCGAGAATAGTTTATTTGAAGCGAATATGATCTTTTTCCAACATTAAGTACCTTCTCGCTTACGCGAGAATCAGGAAGGCTCTGGGATAGAACAAAAAAGGCAGAGGAAGCATATTTTTCTAAAAAAAAATTATTCTTCAGCTCTTAGGATTTCAATGGTTATTATGAATGACTAATATTTTCTCTTAGAATTAAATGTAATCGATTCAAACTTGGATGTAATCCGATGATATTTATATATAGTTTTTCTGTTTCTATTCAATGTTGGTATTTTTATTATGTTCTTAATGTTTGATTCTATCCGATCAATAGATTCTTGAGTGTGATTTTTAGACATGACTAGGAAGTATTTGTGAAAATCTAATCTGAACAAAAATACTCAATGTATTGTGATGCTAAGAATATATTTTAGTATATCAATTGCTTATAACGCTTGAATTTAATGTTGGATAGTTTATTGGATATGTGAGGAATTGATATTCAGGGAATTGATCTTATGAATTTTATACGTGATAAATCAATATAAATGATTTGTGTGTTGCATTAATATTGGTAATTTCAGATGTTATATGTTTATATTCATCCAAATTACAAACGAGTGAGAGTGAGATAGATGAAATTCAATCTCAGCTCCTCTTATTAAACTTTTTCTAACCATTCTGCTGTCATCGTATTACTTTCATGCAAACTTAATATAAATTATAATAATCAATCAATTATTCATCAAATGAATATCTTTATATATATGCCAATTGAGATAAACTATCAATTTTAATTGAACTCGTTCCTCGTTGGAATAGACACTCTTACTAATAAATTATTATACTACAGTTGACTATTTGTATGCTTGTCAAGAGATTAATAATAACTTGTAGCCACCAGTTGAGTGATACCCGATTAGAATAAGAGGTATACATTTGTCATCCAATTTTTGCCTCAACTGGTCTATAGTACATGTTGATAACATAACAAGCAAAGAATTCTCAAGTGAGGAACATCAAGTTTCTTCTCAATCCAGGCTTCTTTCGGAGTCATTCCCTTAAGACATTTGGTGGGTTATCGGTTCAAAATATAGGTGGTTATCAACACAACTTCTCCCCATAAAAGCATAGGTAAACCTTTACTTTTTAACATGCATCGTACCATGTTAAGAAGGGTTGTTTCTCCTTTCAGCAGTACCATTGTGTTGTGGTGTATATGGAGGAGTTATCTCATGAGTGATATCAACCTCTTCACAAAATTTCTTGAATTCACTAGAGGTATACTCTCCACCTCCATCAGTTTTCAAGGTCTTCACACATTTTCCACTCTAATTTTTAGTCCAAATCATAAACTTCTTGAAAACGGCAAAAACATCATTTCTCTTCTTAAGCAGATATGTCCACATCTTTCGTGTTAGATCATTAACAAAAATGATGAAATATCTACTTCCACCTGGAATTTCAACTTGCAATGACCCACATATGTCTTAATGCACCATCTCTAGCTTCTTAGTTGACTTTTGTGACACCATTTTACAGAAACAATTTCTTGTTTGTTTGCACTATACATACTCTTTACACATTTCTTCTGGTATTATTACATGAGCCAGTCCAACAACCATTTGTTGGCTTAGACCATATAGATCTTTGAAATTTAGGTGTCAAAATCTCAGATGTCATAACCACTTGCTCCTGTTTTCTGCAGCAGAAAAACATTGGCGCTTTAACGTGTTCATTCTAACTTGGAATGTCCTGTTTTTTTATAGACCAACATGTATTATAAGCTTTTTAAACTGATCATACACATTCAGTGATTTGTCTTCCATCACCATTGTAAACCCTTTTTGCAATAGTTGGCCTAGACTCAGTAAATTAGTTTTTAAACCTGGAACATACAACACATCTTTGACAATCACTTCTCTGCCATCATAACCTTTCAGCACAACACGACCATTGTCTTCAGCATGTAAGCGATTATCATCTGCAAATCTAATTTTTTTCATAATTTACTTCAGTCAAACAAACAAACCAATCTTTTTTTCCTATCATGTGTTGAACACCCAGAATCTAGGTACCATGATGTGTTATCTGCCACACTATAATTTGTTTCAGCCATTAACATGACTGCTTCTGAATCTGAAGTATCATCTTGAGTCAGATTCGCTTGTGCCTAACTCTTTGGTTTGTTTTTCGCTCATTTACCATCCTAACATTCT